CAAAACTAATTTTTAAAAATATAAAAAAATTTTGGAAGGGGTACAGGGTCCCCTGCTAGTCTAGAAAAAATTTTTTTAATCATTTTCCAATTTAATTTTCAGGATTTATTAATTAATGCTTGTACGACCCATTCAGAAGAATTAGCAAATATTGCAAGGGAAGAGCAAGAAAAGGCGGAGACTGAAGCTCTGGCTAAATTCGATGGTTTTTTTCATTTCAAAAAAATTTTTAAAATTAAAATTTTTAAGGAACTCGTGTAACAGTTGAATCTTTTAATAAATGGCAAGAAGCATTTTTGGAAGAAATGAGAGTGAAAAAAGGGCAGGAAACTAAGGTTTATTTTTAGAATTTTTTAAAATAATTTTTTAAATTTTTTTAGGAAATTCAATCAGGAAATCGTTTAACGGGGAAACAACAATTTTTGGCCGACAAATCCTTGGGAATTTCAGATTTACAATTTTTGAATATGCCTGAACAGGAAGACGTAAAAGAGGATAGTGAGGAAAGAGGAGGAGTTGCTGCTATTGACCAGTCTCTTTTTGAGGTTTTTTTTTAAATTAAAAAAACTTTTTTCTGAGGAATGCCTCAACATTAGGGTTGCTTGGTTCTTGGAAGATCTTAAAATATCCGGAACCAATCCGAAAAAATTACTGGTTCTTCGATTCGGTTCAACTTCGATTAGAACCTTTCCTTCGGTTTCTAACTGAAACCCCCCTACTCATTGTCAGAATGAAATTTTTTTGGTTTTTTTCGTTTTGAGGGGATAATCTGAAAAAAAGGGAAAGGAGGGGATGACTCAAAACCTTGGGGAAAATTTTTTTGTAAATTGAACAAAATTTCGAAACGTCAGTTAGGCTAAAATTCCCTAAAAAATCTTTAAAAAATTTTATAGGATGATTTGGATATAAGTGATGAAGAAACTAGCGATGAGGAATATGAACCTGAAGATGAGGATGAAAGTTGATTTAAATTTAAAAATTCTTTCAAAAAGTTTGTTTTCAAAATTTTTTTTTAATTTATTAAATTAAAATATTAAAAAAGTGAGAAAACCACAAAGGCATCGATATGTGTTTTTTGGTTATTTATCAGAAAATTAATTCCTTCTAAATTTTGTCGGGTTTTATTGCTTTAAGAAGAAAAACGGCATCATCCAGTTTGTAATAAGCCTTAAAAAATAAAAAAATTTTAGAACCTTTAAGATGTCAAATAGCGGAAAAGGGAAATATTTCAAGATGCTCATAGGATCCACTCTGTGGCCAATTCCCCCTTCGTTTAAATTCCACAAAAAATTTAATGGAAGAACAATTCTGTTTGTCTGGGATCACCATAAAATTAAATTACAAAGAATTTCCTCAAAATCCCCAACGGAGGAAAATATTTAGAAAGGTCCAATAATGGGAAATGCTTAAAAACGCCCAACAATGAAATTTTTTTCAAAATGTCCACCATAGGAAAATTTTTTCATAATACCAAACAGTTAGAAATGTCAACTAATGATCACAAAATTAAAAAAAGAATACCCTAGCCAAATCGCCCTCAGAAAAATAAGGAAGTTTAGTCCATCTAACAACTTCAAATCCTGCAGGTATCAGTACTTCATTCACAAGAATTTCAGCGTGTTCTTCAAACGAATTTTTGTTAGTTTTTGAAAAGGGCAATAATAACAAATCTTGTTGGGTTCCCCCTTCGTTTAAATTAAATTCCACATAAAAATTTAATGGAAGGACAACAGAAAGTAGTAAAAAACAACCATTTGACAAAGCCAAGGAATGCAATTGCTTTAATAATTGAGTTGGGGCATAATGACGATCGAGCAAATTTAAGGCACAAATGAGGTCATAGGGTCCACTCTGTGGCCATTTATCAACATTGAGGAGTTTAAAATGGTGTTGGGCTAAGCGCCATTCCATTACCTGAAAGGATAAAAATTTTTGAAAAAATTAAAAAATTTCTAAAAAATTTCTAAAAAATTTCAAAAAAATTTTTTAAAAATTTCTAAAAAAAATTTTTTTTTAATTTCTAAAAATTTTTTCGAAAATTTTTAAAAATTTTTTTAAAAAATTTCAGAAAATTTTTCAAAAAAAAATTCAAAAATTTTTTTAAAAAATTAAAACATTTCTAAAAAAATTCAAAAAAAATTTCGAAAATTTTCAAAAAAATTAAAAAAAAATTTTAGAAAATTTTTTTTTAATCATCCACCAATATTCTCCTCACCATACTTTGGAAGCCTCAACTGCTGTAACATGCTTGAAAAACCTTTGCAAAACCAATGTAATTGTCCCATCTCCAGCCCCAATATCAATTAATCTTTTGTCTGTAGAATTCCAGTCAGGAGGGAAATTTAAAAATTTTTGTAAAAAATTGTGGGAGAAAAGAAACATGTTGCCTCTAGAAAATATGGAAAGTAAAAAATTTTAAATTAAATAAACCTTCCAAGAATTCCATTAATATTAGTCTTTGTGAAGAAAAGGGAGAGAATTGAAGCCATAAATGAATAATAAATCTAAAATTTTCTTTTAAATTCCGGAAAATGTTCTAAAAAGTTTCCGGAAAAGTAATATAATTATACTGAAGAATAATATAAAAATATAAAATTCCAGAAAGTTTAAGAAAAAATAGAATATTTTCCGGAAAATAAAAGATTTTCAGAAAAGTATAATTGTCTACAATTTTGAAAAGCCTGGGCCTGTCCATGAGTTCCAGGTTTGATTTATTGACTCTGGGCCAGATCCAGGGTCCATTGGCCAGGAAAAACCTAGGCACAAGGTCAAAAATGCCTGGGCCTGGACTCCGGGTACATGAAAAAAACAGGCCTTGGTCCAGCCAGACCCAGCTCGATCTCTAATATAGGTGTTACGACAATTGCGGATACGCAAGTGCGGATGCGACAATTGCGGATTAAAAAATTTTTACAAATTTTTAAAATGATTGAAATGATATTCCGTTTTTTGTCCCGGCTGTCAGCTTCAGACGGTTTCCGAATCATTTTTAGACAGATGTGGCACTGAAAACTCTAAAAAATCTTAAACTTTTTAAAAATTTTATATCCGCAATCGTCGCATCCGCACGTGCGTATCCGCAATTGTCGTACCGTCCTAATATTTACTGTTCCGGAAATATCCTTCCTGGAAAGTAATTATTCCGGACATTTATATTATTATTTTCCCGGAAAAATAATACAAAAATAATACAAACATATAAAAAATTCTAAACCTGTAAGCAAACATTGTTGCTAATTTCAAAAGAATTATTAAGGTATTGTTCTGTTTCTTCATCATAATTTGAAGGGGTAAAACAATTTTTCAAATTCGAATCATTTAATAATTGTAAATTAATAGAGTACCAATGATCCCCTTAAAAATAAAATTAGACAGAATTTTAAATTAAAAAAAACTTTCTGAGGTTGCTAATAAAATTTGATCAGATTCTTCTTTTTCAATGAGTAGACGAACAAGTCTGCTACGTCCAAACATTTAATTTAAGTTCAAAACAAAAAATAAATTTAAAAAATAGATTAGAGGGAAAATTTTTTTAAAAATACTAGTTTATTTAAACATAAATTTTAATAAATTGAAAAAAAATTTTTTTGAAGAAATTTTTTTAAAAATATTTAAAAAAAATTAAATAATTAATAATTTTTCTGAAGTTTGAAAATTAAATTAAAATTTTAATAAAAATTTTAATTTTCTGAAAATTTTCCGGAAACGTTACAAAAATTAAAATTATTATACAACAAAATATAATTCCCGGAAAATAGAAAGTTAAAAATAAACATGAGTAACATTACGGAAAATGTTCTCTATTAATTTTAACTTTTCCGGTTATATTCTCTTTCCGGTAATATTTATATTTGTTTTCCGGAATTTCTATTATCTTTCCGGAAAATATAAAAGTCACAACATTCCGGAAAACATTAATAAATTAAAAACCTTTTTATATACACTACTTAAACTGGGGTAATTGAGCATTCGTTATTTCTACCATTTTTACAGCTTTTTCAACCCACAAATCAGAAGGGAATAAAATTTGTGGTTGAATGGATTGTTGTTTTTTCGAAGTATTAATTAAACCTTTTAGCAATAATTGTTGTTGTTGTTCTTGCTCTTTTTGTAATTTGAGTGCTGTTCTGTGCCAATCTGCTTTCTAAAAGAAAAAATTAATTTTTTTGAACAAAAAAAATTTTAAAATTAATTTTGGATTCCTAAAAATATTCTTAAGATACCCTCCTATTTTTTAAAAAAGGAAAAAATAAATTTGGTCAGTGGAGGTCATGGGTTCGAACCCGCTCGAGGCCCGAAATTTTTAAAAATGCATCCAAGTCCAACTAATTAAAAATACAAAATTTTTACGACACAAATAAATTAAAAATAAATTTTTCTAAAATGCTCGTCAATTTTTCTAAAGAAATAAAAAAGGAGGGTTATGGGTTGACGGGGGGTCATGGGTTCGAACCCGCTCGGGGCCCGAAATTTTTAAAAATGCATCCAAGTCTTCTAATCAAAGAAAAAAATTTCTAACACAAATAAATTAAAAATAAATTTTTTTCAATAAACCTGAACTTCCATTAACGACTGCGCTTCCAATAAATGCCTATTTTTTGTTGTATTTACAAGTTTATTAAAGCGTTGTTTAAATTGATTAATTGAAGGTGTTGTGCACATTCGAGGCCTTCTTTCTTCTAAATTTTGCATCGATTGGGATAATAATGTTGGGTCGTGGCAAACAAAATCGCGGAGACAAGAAACTAATAATGAAAAAAATTTTTGGGCTCTTGAAGGGTCGCGGGTTCGAACCCGTTCGGGGCCCGAATTAATAAAAAATTTTTTCTTCGACTAAAATGTTATAAAAACGACTAATATTGCGCCAAAATGTGAAATTATATATTCTTAATTTATTTTATACAGATATATTTAATTTAAAAAAATCGGGCCCCTGAGCGGGTTCGAACCCACGACCCCCTATAAATTTTAAAAATTCCCCAAAAATTTTTTTCAAAAAACTAACCAACAGGAAAAAGTTGTTTCTTTCTATCAGCCCCAATTCTACACATTTCTCTCTCTGCCATTTGGGTTATCCTTTCTTTATCTAAATTGTGTTCTTCTGCCAATTCATGCCTTCGCTTCTCTTGTTCCAAAAAGAGTTTTTTAAGAACTTCTGGTAAATCTTTACAAATCTTTTCAAAAAAATAATTTTTTAACTTAAAAATAATCTACAAAATAACCTCATTATTTTGTTTTTCATGTCCACTTGAAGAAAAATTTTTTGTCTTTGCAGACCTCGTCCCTTGACTTTCATCTGTACTTTGCATTGTTTCTATCAGAAAAGCTAAATGTTCAACATAATTTTGTGTCCATTTATTGTGCATCTAATATAAAAAAAGTAGTTTTATTATTCAAATTTAAATTAGAATATCAAAAAATTCAAAAAAAAATGAAAAAAACCTAAAGGTTTGTGGTGAAGTTAGGGGTCGTGGGTTCGAACCCGCTCGAGGCCCAGAATTTTTTTAAAAATGAACTTTCACAAAATTTCCTCAAGAAATAATTTTTTAACACAAAAAACATAAAAATAAAATTAAAAAAAATAAAAAACCATAAAAATACCAATCTTATAACTAGTAAGGAGAGGTCATGGGTTCGACCCCGCTCGAGGCCCAAAAATTTTTTTAAAATATATTTTCACAAAACTTGCTCACAAATTGTTTTTTTAAACCAAATAACATCAAAATATCTAAAAAACAAACCATTGTTTCATAACAAATACTTTGTTCAAAACTATTTTTAGCAAAAAGAGTAGCAGCAACAGAAGGGGTTGTTGTTGTTGTAGTACTTGCATCATTTCCTCCATTATTATTATTCTTTTCATTTTCCAAATTTTGTTGCGATTGTTCTTTTCCACTTGCCAATGCAGAAATACTTGTAGAACGGCTAGCGCTGTGCTGAAAAAAATTTTTTAGGGAAAAATTATAAAGGGGGGGAGGGGTCGTGGGTTCGAACTCGCTCAGTGCCCAAAATTTTTTAAATTCCGTAAAAACACAAAATATTAATTTCCTTTAATTTCTAACCCAAAATCGATCTTTAAAAAAATTTTTTTAAACAAAAAAATTCCCCAAAATAAAAAAAATTTCCCCCAAACTTACAACTTCAGAAACACTTTTAGAACTGCTATGCTGTGAATTCTCCTCATTTTTTTGTTCATCATTTTCGTCCTCATCTATCATTAAATTATCTTCACAGGCACCCTCAGCAGCACTACTAGCATCTTCTTCCTCCAAAAATCCAATATTTGAAGAATTATAATTTTCTAATGTTCGTTTTGGACGTTTTCTATAAGGTTGGGGTTGCTGGTGGCTATCGTCTCCATCATTTAAATTATTTGTTTGGCGAACTCTGCTCCTTAAAAGATAATAAATGAATCTTTTTACAAATTTTGTGAGCTTAAAAATGTTTCTTGAAAACTCTAAACGAATACAACACCAAAAACACAATTATCAGGGGTAGGGGGGTCGTGGGTTCGAACCCGCTCGGCGCCCAAATCTTTTAAATCATCGAAACTCCCAATATAACTTAATTTTAAGCATTTCTAGCCGTCTAATAAGTAAAAAATAATTTTTCCAACCTTGTCACTCTCCTCATTTCCTCCTTCTTTGAACTAGTAGTATTTGAACGTCCACCAGTTGCCCTCTTAGTTTTTCGAACAGAACTGACTGGTGAATACAATACTGGCTGTGACTCCCCATCTTCACTGGGCGTTTTTATTAAAGAAATTCTTAGAGGAGGGACCTTAAAAGAAAATTTCGTTGATTTAAAATCCACCAACAGGCAATTGTAGGGGGTCGCGGGTTCGAACACGCTCAAGGCCCTGAATTTTTTAAATAAAATAAGGCTCAAGAAATGTCATAATATTGCCTTTTAGGGACTAGGGCATACCAATGAAGGATTTTCCCCAACTTAAACAACCTAAAAATTAATTTCAAAAAAACCTTTTTTTGTTCTTGCACCCCTCCACAAGTAAAAGAATAGGCTCTGTGTGGTTGTTGTAAAGGTTGTTTAATTTCATCAGATCCTTCAATTTTTAATTCGTTTCCAATTTTTAATTCAGTCCCTTCTTTTTCGTAATACTCTTCCCTTTTGACTTGATTTTCAATTTTTTGACAAAATTCCACAGTTTCGGGTTTTGGTTCAGGCAAACTTTCCACCAGATTTAACTTGTTGGAGGCTGAAGAGGACTCCACTGCAGCAGCGGCAACTAACTTTTTTGCAAGCATGGCCGTTTTTATTCGTTTAGGGGTTGTTGAAAAGCTTGGAGAGGCTATAGAAATTTAAAAAAATTTTAGTAAAATTTTCTGCAATTTGTAAGAAATCTTGGGGGACATGGGTTCGACCCCGCTCAAGGCCCCGAATTTTTAAAATGAATTGTATCGGTCTAAAATTAATCCAAAGCATATAATTTCGTGTCTAGACGAATACAGGTCACATAACGACTATTTAACGAGGAAAAAATTATTTTAAAAAAATTCAGGACCCCGAGCGGGTTCGAACCCACGACCCCCACCCTCTCCCATAAATTAAATTAAAAACCTGTAATTGGACTCTTGTATTGATTAAAAGACGTTCCCATATTTGGAGATACATTTTGAAAATAGTTTGAAGTCATTGGCGCCGCCATTTTGTCCTCTTCCGGACTGTCATTAAATTCGTAAACATCGTTGGGTTGTTGTTCAGTTAAATAATTAAAGGAAGGAATTGAAGTATTTGTAGAATTGACAATATTTAATTGAAAAGGAATATTGGAAGGAATATTTTGATGATTTGGGTGATTTTGTGACATTTATTGAACTGAAGAAAAGTCAAAATTTTTTCGAGTATTCCTTAAAATGTTAAGATTATTAGGTTAAAAAAATCACGATTTTCGGTCTTCTTTTGGCTCTAACTTTTTATTGAATGATCGTATTGATCTATCATTTAAAGAAACAGAATCAGCAGATCTAGAGCTTTCGAACGATACCAAACTTGCTCAGAAAAGTAGGAAACACAAAAGAGTTACACCCAAAAATAAGAGAGACTCAACTGACCGAGACTCAATCTTTTTTTGTTTTACAACGAAATGTTTTACAACGAAAATAAAAATTAGAGAAATATAGAAAGAAAATAGTGTGTTATTTTAAATGCTTATTTTCGCGGGGCGTTGTTTTGAAAAGAAAAGTTTACTATAAAAGCAAACTTTTAGTCTCTTTTACTTCCCACACTCTTTTGTCCTGCCTCCCTTTTCTTTACAACCACCCCCAATTAAAGTTGCCGCTTTGGTGTAGTGGGATAATTTTCAAAAAACAAACAGGTTTTCTTGATAAATTTCTTTTTTGCTAAAATTTTCTTTAATAGTCTTTCCAAACTTTTCAACAACAACAATAAAGGGAATATGTGCAGAATGGTCAGACTTTCCTCATTAAATGGACTTGTGGTGGAGGAAAAGAATGGAAAAAGGTTTTTTAAGTTAACCAGTACTTTTTTGTTCCTTCCCCCGGTCAATTTAGCTTCTATTTTGCCTAAGTGTGGACAGTGGTCAGCCATCCTTCCTCATTAAATGTCTAGGCCATAAGTCACCAGCGTTCGCATCGGGACCTAGGCCAATGGTGGGTCATTTGCAATAGGTTCACCGGTAATGATGCAGCTTTTGGGGAGATTGGAAAAAAGTGAAGTGAGGGACGCTGGGGGAAGTCTGACCTTTCTGAACATATTAAGGAAAAAACTAGGGAAGACAAGACGAGGGACCCTAATCCTCCGTTTTATCTAAAAAATCAATTACCTCTGTTTTAGTTTATGAGTCCAATAACTTTACAGTCCATTGATAAATTATAAGTCTACACATTGACCCTTTGACTCGTAAAGCCTCATTGGACTTCTAATATTTTGTTTGGGCCGGGGCTGTCCGCAATAGCATTGCATGTTTTTTGGCTCAGAGATTGAGTTTGGGATTTTAAATTACGATTGTATAATTTTTTTTCAATTGCGGACATACTTGGTTTAGGCTCGTAAACCTGCATTGGACTCATAAACTAGACTAATGCCCATTTATTTTTTAGCAACAAAAAAATTTGATTGACAAAGTTTTGAAAAATATTGCGTTGTCGACAAATGTTGCCGAAGCTGTTTCTAAGGCTGATTTGGTTATTGAAGTATTGTGGAAAATGTGGAGGTTAAACAAAATTTGCTTGACAGAGTGGAGAATGCTGTTAAGAGGTTTTTTATTTTAACGGGTTTTGGGTGATTTTGAGCTTTTTGTTTTTCGACATTCCTTATTTTCCTTTGATCTTAGGCTCGGTTTAGACATGTAAGATTTGCCTCCTTCGTGGAATATGAGAAAATAAGAACGCACTAAAAGGTTTCGAACCATCGACCTTAAAAGTTAAAACCTACTTTAACCAAAAATTGAATTTCTGACTTTTTCAACTGGCACTACTGATTTGCTTAACAGAATCAAAATAGGGAAAATAAGGAGGAAGTGAAAATGTGGACAAACATTCAAAATTCCTTTTTTTAATTTTTTAAAAATTCTCTTAACAATTTTAGTGGAACAACTTTGGCAACAAACACTTCATCTTTAAAATTGCGGATATTGCTGCGAATTTAAAACACAAGAAACTTTTTGGTGGACTTCACTTTTTCAATCCTCTTCCCGTTATGGAATTGCTTAAGGTTTTTATATTTTTTGTTAATTGGTTTTGGTCCTGGTTTTGACCGTTAAGAGTTAAGGGTTCCCACGTTGGTTGTTCGAACTTCTGTTAGGAAGTTCGAACCTACGAGTTACGATGACGTTTCGTTGACAAAACAAGCAAATTAAAAACTTTTGTAATGAAATGGGAAAACCCCCTAACTAGAAAACGAGATACATAAAATGTTTTGCCCATGTTTGGTTCTAATTCTCTTGGGGCTGAACACATCCTGGTCCCAGGATCATTTGTTTTTTACTTTAATCTATAATATTTCCTTTCAAAAATTTTTCTCTTTTCAGAAACTGAAAACCGTGATGCCTTCAAACGCTTTGGAAATATCGTCAACATTCGCCACTTCAAACCTCAAGGATACGATTTTTGGAAGAAGGATGGTTTAAAAATTTTTTTAAAGATTTTTTGTTTTTAATATTGTCTTTAACTTTAATTCTATTTTTTTAGTCACCCTTTGATTAAGAGGGGTTGATTAGGCTCATTCTTTTACTAGGTGTGGGTGTGCTTGGGAAGATTTTCGGGGAGGCAGCACCATTGAGGGTGGGTGGGACGGGGCACAAACTTTAAAAATGTTTAAAAAACACTTGAAATTTTTGCCCTTTATAACGATTTCATATTTAGTTGAATATGAAATCACTTAAAGCTCTGATAGGATTTTCTCGATTTTTGCTGGCCGTTTGGGTTTTCACATAATTTTTTACTTTTTTGTCACTTAAGAACTAACCATGACGCGATATACCATCCTAATGGATCACGCGAGGAGTTTGATCATTGGATCAATCACCCAGATTACGCATCAAATGGAGATTTTAGAACAAAATGAGGAAGGACGTTCTCGTGGTGTTAAAATGGTTTTTTTGAATTTTATTAAAAGTCAAGAATGGTTCGTGTCACAACCATCGGTCACCACAATTACTACGTAAATAGATTTTATAATTTCTAATTTATACAATTTTGTAGGGCTTAAACCCACGCACTGAATATGATTATGGGGATGATGATGATGAACATTACCCAGACAGAATCACCCGTAGGCCGCGCTTCTCTCCTCGGATGTTTTATAATTTTTGAATTCTATGGTCTGTTATACTCAACTGATTATCTCGACAGGTGGTTGGCTAATGATATCTACGACTGGCACCACATTTACACAAACGATGGTGATGTCAAACTTGGGGAGGAATATTCTATATACCACTGCGAAGTGAGTATTTAAATTTTATAATTAATTGCTGTTCGAATGAACTTGTGTACACGAATCTCCATCTACGTATTTGTTGAGGAAGGTCGATCCACAGGTCATAGTCTTCGTATGAGTATAAAAGACCATAAAAATAGAAGACCATTGTTAGGGTCTGGAATAACAAATTTTTATGGTCTTTTATACTCATACGAAGACTATGACCTGTGGATCGACCTTCCTCAACAAATACGTAGATGGAGATTCGTGTACACAAGTTCATTCGAACAGCAATTAATTATAAAATTTAAATACTCACTTCGCAGTGGTATATAGAATATTCCTCCCCAAGTTTGACATCACCATCGTTTGTGTAAATGTGGTGCCAGTCGTAGATATCATTAGCCAACCACCTGTCGAGATAATCAGTTGAGTATAACAGACCATAGAATTCAAAAATTATAAAACATCCGAGGAGAGAAGCGCGGCCTACGGGTGATTCTGTCTGGGTAATGTTCATCATCATCATCCCCATAATCATATTCAGTGCGTGGGTTTAAGCCCTACAAAATTGTATAAATTAGAAATTATAAAATCTATTCACGTAGTAATTGTGGTGACCGATGGTTGTGACACGAACCATTCTTGACTTTTAATAAAATTCAAAAAAACCATTTTAACACCACGAGAACGTCCTTCCTCATTTTGTTCTAAAATCTCCATCTGATGCGTAATCTGGGTGATTGATCCAATGATCAAACTCCTCGCGTGATCCATTAGGATGGTATATCGCGTCATGGTTAGTTCTTAAGTGACAAAAAAGTAAAAAATTATGTGAAAACCCAAACGGCCAGCAAAAATCGAGAAAATCCTATCAGAGCTTTAAGTGATTTCATATTCAACTAAATATGAAATCGTTATAAAGGGCAAAAATTTCAAGTGTTTTTTAAACATTTTTAAAAAAATAGGAGACTAAACAAATTCAAAATAAAGATTTAATACAATACTAGATATTATATTCAAAATTTTAAGTTTTCCCTTTTGAAAATTTAAAAAAAAATAGAAAAATAATTTTTTCTGTTAATGTTATTTTAAAAAATGATCACAAATTTTATTATTTTTTATTAAATTTGTTCATTTAATGCCGTTGCCAAGCAATAAAAATATTTTTAAAAAATAAATTAGTAATTTATTTTTTTTATTTTAGAAAAATTTTTTAGGGAGGGGGGTTTTTTCTTGTATTTTACCCTCTAAAATAATTATAAATTTGACTTTAAAAATATTTAAATGATAAAAGATTCTTTTTAGGCTAATTTTCTTTAACTCCTTTAAAAATGTCCGCAAGTTTTGTCCGCAAATTTAATTTTTTCAAAAATAATTTTTTTTATTTTTCTTGAGAAAATAAATAATAGAGCTCTTAACTAATTTAATTAAATTTTAATTGAAGTATTTAATCTCTAAAAATATTTTTATTTTTTTTATTCTTAAAGAATTTTCATTCTTTAAAAATTTAATTTAGAAAATATTATTTAAATTATTTTTCTGGTATTAATTTAAGCAAATTTTTTAAAATTTAATTTAAGCATTTGACGTTGTTAAATTTTTTATTATTTTATTTTTATTAAAATAATTTTTCTTTAATTTTTCATTTGCGGGCAGATATTTGCGAACTATACCCAAAGTCTATTTAAATCCGCAAATAATGTCCGCAAAAATTATTTCCCTATTTTGACCTTTTTTAAATAAAATTTCCTTTAATTTCAAAAATTTTCTTTATTTTCTTTATACCCTTAAAAATATTTTTAAAAAACAATTAAATTATTCCTCTTTAAAATTACTACAAATCTGCACATTTTTAAATTTTACCTCATTGATTATGTAAATCCCCTATTAAAAAAGCTGCCCTCATTACCAAAACAAATAAATTATTTAACTATTTCGGCGCCGTCTTTTTGAACGCCCCCTAAATTTTTACTCGGCGCCATTTTTCTGCGCCGAAATAATTTCTTTTCCGGAAAAATATAATTTAAAAATAACTAAACATTTCGGCGCAGAATTGTCGGCGCGGCCTATTTCCGGGGCATTTTCCACGCCAAAAAATGTCCGCGCCGGAAAAACCTCAATATTTAATAAAAAGCTAATTTCCTTTATTTTTTACACATTTTTTGTTTAAAACCAACGGGAAAAATATTTTTTTATTATTATTATTTACCTGGGCAATGGAACGGAAACAATGGGGTACTTAATGAGGGTGAGATAAAAAAAAATTTTTTTTATTTTTTTCCTTTCGCGCAGGCAATCATTTTATATATTTTGTATTTATTTAAAAATCCTCTCTTATATTAATTATAATTCCCCAAAGAGAGAGACAATTGCTAGTTTTGAGGCACACAAGACTTGTGTATTTCCGGTAGATTTAAAAATTAAAAAAAAATTATTAAAAAAGGTAAATATACCTCCTCTCTCTTTTTTACTATTTTTTTGGCTTTATTTTTTGTTTTAATTTTATTTTTTTCCTTTGTTTAACCATGAGAATTGACACAAAAGTAATAATTTAAGACCTAATTTTATTTTAAAATTATTTAAGAATTATGAAACGTTTCGGCGCAGGATTATTTCGACGCAGTCTTTTAGACGTGTATTTATTGCTTGACGCCAAACCTTTGCGCCGGAATAATTTATTTTTCGGAAAAACAATTTTAAAAGAAAAAAACATTTCGGCGCAGAATTGTTGGCGCAGCCTGTTTCTGGTGAATATTTGTACGCCAAAAAGTGTTTGCGCCGAGAAAATCAATTAAATTTATTCAATTTCTTTTAGTTTACACTCTGAAACCCTTCCCTTTTTTTTTAACATCAAATTCAATTTTTAACCTCAACCTTCCCAGAAATTATCGTCAAAAAACCGGAAGAATTTAAATAAAAATTTAATTAAATTAGTCTTCAAATAATCACAACTTTTTCCATTTTTAATTTTCTAATCTAATTTCTTTGTATTTTATAGCCTCAACTTTCTTCTATTTTTAGACGTTTAAATTAAATTTATATCTTTATTTTAAAAAAAGTTATAAGCCTTTAAACACCTCTTGGTTGGGTCAAAGACGTTTTGGCGCCGTGCCGTTTTGGCGCGAGACTAAAACTGGCACTTAGGCGAAACCTAAATTCGTGAAAATTTTCTAAATTTTCACTAACATCCTCGACTACCTCTTCCAGAAATTTCAGAATTTTTCATCAAATATTTCTAAAGTTATAGTCGATAAACCTCGAAAAATAAGGCATTTTTCAAAAAATCAACATTTTTGGCCACATTTTTAGCTACAATTTCTGAAATTCTTGATCAAAAATTCTGAAATTTTTGGTGAGCATAGATAAAGGGATGAGAGTTATTATTGCAAAATTTTATATTTTTTGATAAGCAACTCACTGTTTTATAAGCTCACGCGCGAAACGTCCATGCGCCAAAAACTTCCCCGCGCCAAGACACCCCCGCGCCAAGGCGTCCCAGTCCTTTTGGTTTGCCGCCCCACCTTTTTTATTTTCTCAGACTCAAATGTCCCCTTTAAATTTTTTTAAATTTCTTACGCCTTTCTTGGTATTTCCCACAATTTCCGTTATTAATACAAATTTACCTTTTGTTCCCCAAATTGGAATATTTTTTGCAAAAATTGGCACGCAAATGCCCTTCAATAAAATTTCTTTTCTCTTCGATTTTTACAGTTTAATTATTAATTTTTATTTTTTTTTTATTCTCACAAAAGGCTAAAAATAAAATAAAAATTAATTATTTTTCTTTTAATATTTATTTAATTATTTATTTGTTTGTTTTTGCTGTTTTTGTTTTTGAGCCTTGAGGCATTAAAAAAATATTTTTTTTGAAAATTCTCTTTAAAAATTCTCTCAATTTTTGCTTATTTATTTTTTAACTAACACCTGTTTAAAAAATATTTTTTGAAAAATTGTTGCCTTTTTTGTAAATATTTTTAATTTAATAGGGAGCAGTCAATGTTTTTAGCTACATAGACCCCTTAGAAGGGTTGGGCGCAACAACGCATACGAAAATGTTTATAGAACAGCTTTAAAAGCACCTATAATCACGAAATTTCGTATTTTCATCCCTAATACTATTAGCTAATAATTCTGAAAATTTCAGAATTTTATTTAAAATATTTCAGAAGTTATGGCCAAAAAAGACCAAAATTTGGCCAACAATTCTGATTTTTTCTGGTTTTTTGGCCATAACTTCTGAAATATATGCAATAAAATTCTGAAATTTTCAGAATTATTGATCAAGAGTATTTACAATGTTTTTACAAAATTTCAGAATTTTATCAGAAATATTTCAGAAGTTATGGCCAAAAAACCAGAAAAATCAGAATTTTTGGCCTAATTTTGAACTTTTTTGGCCATAACTTCTGAAATATTTCTGATGAAATTCTGAAATTTTCAGAATTATTAGCTTAGCTTATTTACAATGTCTTTACAAAATTTCAGAATTTTATTTAAAATATTTCAGAAATTGTGGGCAAAAAACCAGAAAAAACCAGAATTTTGGCCAAATTTTGGTCCTTTTTTAGTTATAACTTTGGAAATACTTCTGATAAATTTCTGAAATTTTCAGAATTTTTAGTCTAGACTATTAGGGCTATAAATACAAAATTTCAGAATTTTACCTTTCCTTTTGACTATTTTATAGTCATCCGCGCAGTCGTTGCTGCGCCTAAACCTGCCTGTACAAATAACTCATTTTTGGCTAAAAATAACTTAAAAAATTTTTTTCTCGATTTTTCTTTAAAATTAAGCAACTATCAACCTCTATTTTTAATAAAATAAAATTATTTTTAAATTTTTCATTGTCATTTTTTACCTTTTTTAGTAATTATTTGCGTGTCTAATATTTTTTTTTATTTTCAAGTTTAATATTTTAATTAATTTAAATCTGATAAATTTTACTTCCTTTTTTAATTATAAAATTAAATTTTTGTATTTTTCTTCTTGTTAAATTTAATTTTTAAAAAATTTAAAAATTTTTTTAAACGAGAAAAAAAATTTTTTAAACGAGAAAAAAATTTTTTCTCTCAAAGGGTCACTTGAGTCTTGACCTTATACCTTATTAAATTTAAAATATATTTTTTAAAAATTTTTTAATCACGCAAAGTTTTCTTTTTGCGTCACAGGTGTAAATAGGTAGAAATATTAAGAAAGTTTCATTATTTTAATTAAATTGGAATAAATTATTTATGTGCTAACTGAATACTAACTGGAGACTATAACTAAATAGACTACAAAAAATTAAATTAAAAAAATTTTTTTGGAGTTAAAAAATTCATTTTTGGTTTATTTTAAAGTTAAAATGTCTGCTCTATTTTTGCTAAAATTTTCGCAAAATTTTCTCAAAGATTTTTCCATTTTTTAATTTTTTTATTTCCAATAAAAGACCGGAACCTCCTCTGACTGTAAGTGACTGTCAAACTTCTAGTCATCATAACTTTTGACTGAGTAAACCTATTAGTTTAATTTTGTACCATTCGATAGAGAATCAAATTAGCTACAAAATAAGCCTTAAATCGAAATTTTAGGTTTCTAGTAAAAAAAAGTTATGCCCCAAAAACTAACCTTTTAACGTGTTTTTGTTGGTTTTCTGAACTCAACTTTTCTGTAAATTAACCTAAAATTCTAATTTAAATTTTATTTTATAGAGAATTTAATTCTCTATCGAATGATATCAAAATAATCTAAAAATATTAATTTTTGGGAGAGCTATGAAGCTTTAAACATGCCCGGTCATGCCCTCTCCACCCCTTATTTTTCTATTTTTTCCACCCAATTTCCTCAAAACTAATTTTAATTTCCCTTTTTTTCTCTTAATTTTTTCTCAATTTTTTTTCAACAGCTATACACCACAAAAACTACTCTATTAACTAATATCAATTTAAATTTACACATTCCATTCTTCAACAACAACAATTTTTATTTATTTAGGCATTAAATGCCTATTTTTCTATTAAAAACTAAAAAAAATATTTTTACCATTTCAACTAATTTCTTTATTATTTTCTGATTTTAAATAATTAAATATACAACAATTTTTATTGACTTCATTTTTAATTTTTTTAATTTAATTTAATAAGGTAAACTTTAATTAAATTTTAAGAAAGAAAGGGCATTTTATTTAATTTACGCCTTTAATTATCGCTTAAAAAAATAAAAAATATATTTTCCAGTCCGTTTTTTAATCAAAAATTAAAAAAAACATTTTTCTGACAAATTATAAATAATTTACCCTGCGTGGGATTCGAACCTTGGACCCCCCTGACGTAAAATCCAAACACTATCCCACTACACCAAAGATTAAATTTTTTGAAAATTTTGCCTATTATGCAGAATTTTGTGTTTTTATGTATTTTTCGATCTAAACTAATTTTAAAAAAATTTTAAGAATTTTTTAATTTTAGATTTTACAGTTTTATCACCAATAAATACTAAAATGGGCGGCCTTTTGACCAGTTGCCAAAGCGAAGAAGTTCGCGAACAACTTAGTAAAAACAAGGCTATAGAAAAACAATTAACAAGTGATAGACGTGCTGCTTCTTCTATTATCAAGTAAAAAAAATTTTTATTTCAAAATTTTCTTTTATTTTTCAGACTTTTATTGTTGGGGGCAGGAGAATGTGGAAAATCGACTGTGCTCAAACAAATGCAGTAAGTTTCTACTTAAAAATTAAAATATATTTAATTAATTAGTAATTCTGATACGTATTTTGTTTTTATGCCGATTCGCGCAAAAATTTTTTTTTAATTTGCGGACTAAACTTGCGGACAAATTTTTTGTCTGCAAATTTTTTGCGGACAAAAATTTAAAATTTTTTCAAAATAAACTTTTTTAAATTAAAACAAATTTTTCCAATTTTTCTTAGAATTCTACACAGTAATGGCTTTACAGAAGAAGAAATTAATGAGCGCAAAGCTGTCGTTTATTCAAATACAGTGACTTCAATGGCTGCTATTTTAAAGGTAGTGCTAGTTTTTGACTTGTAACTTTTTAACCGATTAAGCTACTATGCTACTTTAAAATTTATCTGATAGAGGAGATTCTGGGCTATAAAATGGTCTAGAAATCAATTTTGTAGCCTTAGTTTTTATTAAGTTATGAATTTTTAAATTTGTTTGGTCAGCCTATGTATTTTTTATGTTTTTCAGCTTTTTTATGTTTATAATTTAATAAATATACCCATAATAATTTTTTAAATTCTAAAATCTTCTATCAAACAGCTTAATACATCTTTTCTGACAAAATAAAAATAATTTACCCCCAGCGGGATTCGAACCATGGTCCCCCTCCTGACGTAGGAACCAAACACTTTCCCACTACACTAAAGAAAATTTTTTAAAATTTTAAAGGCAATGGATAACGTTCTACACATGCCAATGGATGACGCTTCTAAAGAAAGAGATAGAAATTTAATTTTTAGAGCTATAGAGAATGGAGAAGAAAATCTTCCTTTTACTGACCCAATTGCAAAGGCCTTACAAAATTTATGGGGAGACAAAGCTGTTAAAAAGGCTTATGAAATGCGCAGTGAATATCAGCTCAACGATTCTGCTAAATAGTTGGAGCTTTAAAATATTTTTTAAATCCTCAATTTTTCCAGTTTTCTCGACTCAGTCTCTCGTATCCACGAACCTGGCTACAGACCCACAGAACAAGACATACTCTACTCCAGGGTTGCTACTACAGGCGTTGTGGAAGTCAAATTTATTATTAAAGGCAATATGGAATTTAGAGTTTTTGATGTGGGTGGACAACGTTCAGAACGTAGAAAATGGATTCATTGTTTTGGTAAATATTTTTAAAATATCCTCTGAGCAAATAAAAATAAATTACCCTCAATAGGGGTCGAACCATGGACCCTTCATGTGTAAAAACCAAACACTTCCCCACTACACCAAAGATTTTACTTAAAATAATTTTAAACATTTTCTCTAACAAAATAAAAATAAATACCCTCATTGGGGTTCGAACCATGGACCCTCTAGACGTTAAAACCAAACACTTTCCCACTATCCCAAAGATTATTTTTTGAAAATTTTGTCTAAAAACATTTTTCTGACAAAATAAAAATTTAACCCGGGTGAGATTCGAACCATGGACCCTCCGGACGTGAAGACCAAGCACTTTCCTACTACGCCAAGGAGTATTGTTAGAAAATTTTGTTTAAAAAAATTTTCTGACAAAATAAAAATAATTTACCCTGAGTGGGAATCGAACCATGGACCCCCTCTAGACGTGAAGAGCAAACACTTTCCCACTACACCAATAATACACATTTATTTTCTAGACAATGTTGAAGCAATTATTTTTATTACTGCAATAAGCGAATACGATCAAGTACTTTTTGAAGACGAAACTACGGTAAATTTTTAAAATTCTGATAAAAAATTCTGATTTTTACAGAATCGAATGATCGAATCGATGCAATTATTTTCCTCAATTTGTAATAGTTCGTGGTTTTTAAATACTGCAATGATTCTGTTTTTAAACAAAAAAGATCTTTTTCTGGAGAAAATACAAAGAGTTAATATTACAACTTGTTTTCCGGATTATGAAGGTAAATGAATGTATTAAATTGTGTTTTCTGGAAGTTCTGGTTTTTAAAAAATTCTGATTTTAAAAATTCAAATTTTGAAATTTTGGAATTCTGAAAAAAATTCTGATTCTCAAAAAAATTATGAAAATTTTCAGAATTTTTATCAGAATTTTTAAAAATCAGAATTTCAAAAACAGAATTTTTTTGGAAATCAGAATCTCAAAAAAAATTCTGATTTTGAAATTCTGATTTTTAAAAAATTCTGATTAAAGTTCTGAAAATTTTCAGAATTAAAAATTATGATTTAAGATTCTGAAAGAAATTCTGATTTCCAAAAATAAATTCTGATCTTGAAATTCTGATTTTTCTATTTAAATTCTTCAGGCTCCCAAAACTACGAAGAAGCAGTCAATTTTATTAAAATGAAATTTGCAGAATTAAATCAACACCCAGACAAGTCCACAAAATTAAAAAAAAATTTCAAAATAATTTTAAAATTTCAGAAAAACTATTTATATGCACGAAACATGTGCAACAGACACCAACCAAGTACAACTTGTAATTAGCTCGGTAATTGACACAATAATTCAGAAAAATTTACAAAAGGCGGGGATGATGTAAAATACTTGACATTTTGTATTTTTGACCATTTTGTAATTTTTTGACAAAATGACATTCCAAAATTTTTTTCGATTTTTAATTATTTTTGTGCATTTTCTTCACTCATTTTTTGTATTTTCATTGAATATTTTAATTTTATAAATAAAATATTTTTCAAGAACATTTTCTGACCTAGTAAAAATAATTTGACAGGCGTGGGACTCGAACCATGGACCCCCTGAACATAAAAACCAAACACTTTCCCACTACACCAAAGAAAAAAATTTTTTTAATATTCAAAATTAATTTTTAGAAAATATTTACTTTAATAAAACCCAAAAATAATAATAATTTCAACCAACTTTTTTTAATTAAAAATAATAAAAGAAAAAGCAAAATTATAGGGACGACAACCTCATTTTCCCTCTCTTCTCCAACTTCACTCATTTTATTTCTTTCCAATTTTCCTCATTTATTTTTGTTGTCCTTGAAAGTAATTTGCCCATTGAGGATTTTGTTGACATTGCTAGAAAAAACAAAAATTTTTTCCAAAAATTCTTTTCAAAAAAAACCTGATAGTATTGCCAATATTGCTGCATCTGTGCAGAATTAACCGCAGCAACAGTTGATGGATTAACCCCTGCAGTCGCTGGATTGAAAATGCCTGGGACTTCTGCAAATTTTAAATTTTATTGCAGTAAAACATATTTTTAAACGAAAAGCAAACCTTTTGGAGCAGCTCCCTAAAATTTAAAAAATTATTAAAAATAAAATTTTTTGGTTAAGTGGTATACGTCTAGACTTATAATGGGTTAGGACGCGGGTTCGAACCCGCTGAGGGGAAAACATTTTAATTTTGTCAAAAATTACAAAAAAAGCTTTCTAAATTTTATAAAATACTTGAAACCCTAAATTCAAAATTTTAGTTAAGTGGTATACGTCCTAGTTCATAAGGAAAGTAGGACGCGGGTTCGGACCCGCTAAGGGCAAAACATTTTTATTTTGTGTCAAAAAGCAAAAAAGACTCTCCCTTAACTCGATGAAATATTAAAAACCCCGAAATTATTTTTTAAATCATAAAACAAACCTCAACTTTCCCCCAATTCATACGAACAGTTTGCCCCAAAAATTCTCCATTATTCATTTCGGCAATAGCTTTGCCAGCAGCAATTTTTGTATCAAATTTAACCTTTAAATTAAATTTAAAAAATATATTTTAAATAAAAAATACAAAAGCATATCCTTGCGGTTTAAAATGGCGAATGTCGACGATATTGCCAAAGCGTTTGAAGGCGTCGCGAATCTCGGTTTCTGAAAATGGAAAAAATTTTTTTCAAGAAAATGTTATAAATCAAAGTTCCAAAACGATATAAATTGTAAATTTTGTAACAAAAATATATTTAGTCCCAAAAGGGCTCGAACCATGCTCCATATATATAAAACTAACCCACTTAACCAAAATTAATATTTTTCCGTAAAATAACCGAAAAAGAAAATTATTCCAAAATAAAAGGAAATACTACCAGAATAATTTTAGAAACAAAAAACCAAAAATAACATCAAAATAAAAACCTGTAGCTCCTGGAGGCACACCCCCAATATAAACCGAAGTATTGTCGGGGCTTGTTTGAGCCATAATTTCGTCAACGGTCGGCTTGTTATATTCAAAAGGAACACCGCCAGGCATCCCTGGCATTCCAGGTTTACGAGTTGCCTTTTAAAAGAAACTTAAAAAATTTAAGTAATTATTAAACCCAATTAGTCCGAATTGTTCTCCGCCCAAGCCATTGCCCATTCATCTGCTCAATAGCACGTTCAGCCTCATCACGTTTTGGAAACGAACAAAAGCCATAGCCTTTAGACATAAGAGTTGCCGGATCACGAATAACCTTTGCATCACTAAAAATATTAAAAAAGGTAGAAGTTATGGGGGGTCGTGGGTTCGACCCTGCTCGAGTCCCGAATTTTTTAAATAAAACAAAAGTTCACAAAAACTCACGAAACTTCCCCAAACGGCGCAAAAGCATCTTTCAAAGCTTTATTATCAATTTCCGGCGAAAGATCGCCAACAAAAATGTGAAAATGTTCTAAAAATGAAGGGCATTAAATTTAAAAATTAAAATTTAAAAATTAACTGCTCGTGTCCACTTTTTGTTGAGTGCCAGGTTGAATAGCCCAATTAACCTTCATTTCCTAAAAATAGTTTTTAATTTAGAACTCCCAACTATTTAAAAAATTGACTTTAAAAGTTTATAGGGAGGTGTGGGTTCGAACCTGCTCTGGGTAAATTATTTTATTTCTGTTGGGAAAATGAATTCAAAAAATAAATTTGACTCTTCTCCAGTCATCCGACCCCAAAACTGTCTAAAAACAAAACTTAACTTACAAAAAAGCTATTCTGATTTTATTGAGTAGGGGGTCCCAGGTTCGAACCCGCTCAGGGCCCGGAATTTTTTATATAAGAAAAATGACCCCAAAAAGCAATTTAGCCCCAAATCCATCAAAAAACAAACCTTATCCAACAACATACGCTTATTCATAGCCTGCAAAGCCTGAGCGGCTGTAGTATGATCAGTAAACTCCACAAAAGCATAGGGATCCGAAGTTGTCTTTAAACGATAAAAAATTAAATTTAAAAATTTAACGAATTCCCCCAGGGCAACACACTCATTTTTATCAAAATTTCCTTAGATTACTTAACGGGGATTTAATAATAAGAAAAGAATAAAGAAAAAAAAGAAAAAAAATAAATTTTCAAATGGTACTTAGAGTTCTTTTTTGATTTTCTCAGGTGCCTTGGAGAGCCTTGGAGAGCAGTCTCTGCCTTGGAGCAGTTCCTGGATTTTATCAATGAATATTTTTCAAATATAATTTAATAAAAGAAAAGAATAAGAGAAAAAAATAAAATTAAAAAAAAATTTTTTTTCGACCTCACCAAGCCGAAGGAATTAATTTAAAAGTAAAAAAAGAAAAGAAAATAAGCAAAAAAATAAACTTAGAAAACCCTGCACTAAAATGTAGAGATTTTATTTTGATCCTTCCAAAGCCTTGCCAACCAACTTACATCAAATATAACTTTTGTTTTGGTAACAGGGCCAATTTGTCCAAACAACGTGGCGATGAACTCTTCGGTCACAGAAAGATCGAGATTACCAACATATCTGGAAAAAAAATAATTAATTAGTGAAGATATTTGGGGTCTAACAACGCTCAGGTCAGGTGAAGTGATTCCGCAGTACCGCGGTAATACCGAGTTTACTTGTGGTCACCAACTCTACTTACTTATCTTACCCCGCCTAATGTTTTCCAAACTCCAGCCAACATTCCTGCTATACTAACAAGGTTGCGAGGTGTCCGACCTAAAAATGGTCGAACTGGGCTCATTCGATAGAGAATGCTCAAAATCCTTGCTAGAAAGGGCACATTCTCTATCGAATGAGCCCAGTCTCGACCGTTCTTAGGTCGGACACCTAACAACCTTTCCTTGTAAGGATGAACGGGTTACCCAAAACCATAAACATATTTCGAAATCTGATCTAGAGGAAGGCGAGGAAGAAGAAAATATGATTTTGGGGAAGGAAAAAAGGGAGAGGGACCAGGATCGGAATACCAAACTTTGAAAGCCCTATCAGAATCACATGCAGACTTTTCCCCCAAACACGCCTTGGTTTCCTGACCGGACTACTCTTATATACCCTAACCCTAAACCCAATACTACTCAAAGCCTGAGCAAGCTTCTTTCCCAATCCCGTCCCATCCCCGTTCTCTACACACAATCCAAAGTCGTTAAATAAACAAACATAGTCTTTGGAAGTCCATCATCAGTCCTCAAATCGAATCCTGCACTTTGTGCCGCTGCATAGTGGTAACGAGGATTGTAAGCGCCTACAGAGTAATCTTCCCCATAGCCGTAAGTTCCATAACCATATGTGGTGTACTTTAAAAATAAATTTCAATTACAAATCAACTTAAGGCACTCCTGCAGTTTGGGGGGAGGGGGCCTCTTACCCTAATAAGACTAATGTGAATTTTTTGATTTTTCTATGACGGGAGTCACCAGATTTTGATTAGCTTACACTAGTGACTGGGGCTGGACTGGATCCAGACGAATTTTCCCGAGTCTGGGTCACAAATCCGAGGGTTTTCGCAATCCCCGGACTAAAACCAGACCGGATTATCCGGAGAAATCCGGCCGGATCCGGACCGGCTCACGTTGCAAATCCGAAGCCAGGTCCGGAAAAATCGATTTTACCAGCCACTAGCTTCAGCAATAAGGACCTAGCTCAACTAGGACCTATGTCAAAAAATCTGGTTCCCAAAGATATAAAGGTAAGAAAGCTGCCCCCCCCCCTCCCCAAACGGCAGGAGTGCTCCCAATTTACTAAAAATACCATTGTTTCTAATTAAAGAGCAAAATATCCTCTACTAATTATAAAAAAATTTAAATATGTAAATAAAGAATAAAATCTAAAATAGAAATAAGCTAAAAAATCTTTAAAAAGAAAGAAAATCAATGCCACGCAATCATTAACGAGAAAAGAAAATTTTTCTCTGCAAACACACTCTCTTTTATACAAAATGCAAAAAATCGATTTGATGGTAAACGCGACAATTCGAAAACGCGATATTTGGACAAATGACAATTGGTCAATTACGATTATAAGACAATTAGGCAGCGGTACAATTGGACAGGAATACAGGGTGCACCATAAGTAATTGGACACTTTTAAATTCCTTATAACTTTTTTTGTTGTCAATATTTTTAATCGATTTTATGCTTATTTTTTAGCTCATTCAATTCTCTATTATGGCTAATCAACGTGATTCTATAATTTCACTTTTTTTGAAAAAAATTCAGTCCGCAAAATTTCACCTCTTTTGAATGTCCCAAAGAGCACTGTACAATACACTTTCAAAAAATTCTGGTGAAAATTTTTTGGGAGAAAATTTTTTTGAAATTAATTTAGTAATGATGGCACAACTAAGAACTTACAAAAAAGTGGAAGACCGAGTACCGTCAGCACTTCCAAGAATATTAAAATGATCAAAAACTAGGTGCATCGCAATTCTCGACCCTCCATGAGAAAAGTGGCTCGTGAAACCGGAATAAGTGAGAGGACCGTCAGACGAATAGCTAAAAATAAACTAGGGTTAATACCCTACAAAATCCAAAAAGCACAACTGCTAACAGAAAAAACAAAAAAAGTTAGGCTTGCAGGATGCAAACTGCTCCTTCAGTGGCACGCATGTCCGGACATTCCCTTCTCAGACGAAAAAATTTTT